ATATACACATAATGAAAACGTGTATATAGATAATGTATAAACGTATGCGAGTGTTTACAATGTACTGAGCTTAAATCCATGGATTTACTAACAAAAAATCTAAATGACTGTGCGGATCAGTCATTCTTTGCGGAAGCGAGATTGAAAAAGAAAAAAATTATACATCGTGTTTACGAGAAAGGAGAAAATGGTTCTGCGTTCAGAAAATATTGGGTCATCTAAATAATATCCGCGGTTTTTTGTTCAATTTTTGAATGACATTTTTCTTTATTGAAAATCAATTTTAATCAAGTATATATTGGCCATTATTATCTGTAACGTGATAAATATAATTATTACGTGGAAATATGTAGCGTTTACATATCGTATATATGTATACTGGATTGGTTAATAATTTCCATTTATTTTTAGAATATTGCCCGATTAACACCGAATAATATTATATCACTAATAAATATTTATTTATTTTACATATATTTATAACACTGTTCAATAAAAATAATTTTTTTTTCACACATTGAAAACTCCAGTTATTCTCTAAATTTCGAATGTGCACCAAAATCGCAAATGATTTGATATCACCAAATTAAACACATGGCGATATTGGATTTCATCTCTACTTTCACAGAAAAGAGTTTGAGTTTTTCATGTATGAAAAATGTTGTCGCACAATGTTGTAATAAGTATTTTGTGAAAGATAATGTTTTAACGCGCATTAAAAAAAAAGTTCACCAAGATTGATTGAGTTTTGAATACTTGGCATTCTTTTGAAACATGGAGAATAAAAATAAGAAAATGATACGATCGCGATCGAAACGTCTGCTAGTTTTCTATATCAAATTTTTAACTTAAAACATTTCTGTTTCTTTTATTAATTTTTTACATTCTATATTATTATTTCATTTATTATCATATATTATCGTTTCATTTTATATAATAATTTTTGGCTCGTAGCTCTCTTTTTCCTTTGTTTTTTAAAAAATAAGATTATTTTATGTTACATAAGACAAATCGCAATATTTCCTAAAAACAGAAGAAAGTATATGATTGTCAATAAATTTGTGAATTTTATGACATATAAAACAAATTCTTACCTAGGAGCCTTAATCGCGCGGCTGTCAAAATCTTTCTTGCGCTTATCATAAAGTTCTCGATCTCAGCTGGATGCGCATTTATGGCGAGAAGATTAACGTTTACGTATCGTGAAGAATCGTCGACTGTAGTCGGAGAGAATAATTTCCTCTCTTTTATTCGTATTGCAAGCTCGTAGTGTCTCGGCGAGCAGGTGCCTCCTGGTTGCGCAGCACCTCTAATCGCCCGTGGCGAGGGAATTAAATGCGATATTGCGAATTGCGCGAGCGAGCGCGAGGGACGTTGACAAATTTCGAGTGAGTGAAGGTGCTATCCCGCGCATGGGCGACCACGCATCGCGATCCGTTGGGTGAAAGACGCGCTACGCCCACACCGTCGTCTTGTCATCGGTAATTGTGCGTCGCGGAAAACGCCCGGGGCCACTCGGCCGTGTGCAACGTGCCTCCCAGTGCATCTTCGTCCGCGCGTCTTCGCCCACGAAGATACGGCGCGGCGGAGCGAATATTGTCGACGCAGAAACTTAAAAAAGCGACTTATGCGAATCGATCAGTCGAGAGGCGTGCGAAACACGACGTATAATATACTCTGTGAGTTATCAAAAAATGAATCAGAATCAAAAAAAGGTTTGTACATATTTTACTAATCCTTCAGATTTATTCAGAAATATATTGTTCTTTGAAATAAAGATTATCGTAGAAATCAATGTCTGTGTTCAACTATTCAACTTCACAAAGCAAGATGTTAAAACACAGCCGATTTTGGTAATTGAAATGACAAAAAGGTGTAAATAATATTAATAACGTTTTATGTAGATTTTCTGCTTAAATTCCTCTTTTTTTTCTACAATAATCCACTTTAAGTCAAAATCAGTCAGACAGGTCAATAATAATGTACAATACAGGAACTTCGATTGTAACATTGAAATACGTAGTGGTAATAATCTTATACGGAAAGGACTAATTTGTTGCAAGATCTAAAATTTTATTGGAAATTTTGTTGAATCATCAAAATAATTTTGTTCGAAACTCAAACTGATTGCTAGAATATCAAAATTGTTTGCAGCATTGCTCATCATTTTTGAATTTCTAATATAATTATTTTGATAGCCTAACAAAATTATTTCCAGATTAATATCTAGCAAAATTTTAGATCTTTCAGCAAAATGTTTTTGTGCAGCATTATAGTTTAAGTTCAGCATTATATTATAAAATATTTCGATAATTAAATTTCGATAAATAAACGCATAGTAATCGTATAGTTATTTAGAGGGCGAAAAAGAAAAGAAGATGCCTTGCGAAAATAAAAGTTTAAGTTGCGGAATGAAGGTTTCAATTAATACGGGATTCCGTAATTCTTCCAGAGAAATGATTTTGAAAAAAAATTGTTCGGTATATTAAATACATGTTGGTAAAGTATGCCGCGTTTTTTTCATAAGAAGGATGTCATGATAATTACGCATTGATGATAGATTACAATGAAATGACTATTGAAGATACAAATCGAAGTTGCGTATGAAGTGCGAGCGTAAGATAAGCGTACTTATCGAAGATTACAGCCGAGTATTACATCTCACCGCAGACGAGTAATTACGATAGTATATCGTAAATAAATTTTTGAAAATTTATTTAAAGTATAATTATCTCATGATTTTTTTATGAAAAAAAGATAATTTATTATAACATCTATAATATTTATACCACTCAAAAATTTAGAGCACTC